TTAAACAAAACACACACTTAAAAAATGTTATAACTTTGTTGGGATGTCAATATTGTGGTGGCTCCTGAAATCGACAACAGTTAAATGTGTCTTAATACCTGAAGGCTGTTGAGATTCACTACGTTAGAAACAAAAGTCTCTCATGGTGTTTTAGCGCCCTCTGCTGACAAATAAACCACTTGCAAAACTGCAAACTGTGCCTTTTTTTTTAAAGTCCAGATATCCATAAATGTTGTATTTATCTGTGGAGAAATTCATAACACACTATTACTATATACGCCTAAATATTATTCATAGTACTGGAAGAAATCTCTATATTGGGAAATGCGCCGACGTGTTACGTAACACGGGGGTGATAAAAATCCAGATTCTTTTTCCATTGGGAGTCGTAGTTTCTGTCACGACGACACCGAGCGTTGTTGGTATGTAAAGAACTCAAGCTCCCATGATGCCACGCTTCCTAAAGCCACAAGCTGGGTTACGCCTACGCTAAATCGACTGTAATCCTTACTGTACAAAACTGAATCCTCTGCGGGTATTTTTAATTTTTCCTGCGGCTACAAGTTTTCCTCTAAATAGGCTAAAGAAATGGACAACTCCGGCAAAGAAAAGGAAGCCATTCAGCTAATGGCGGACGCTGACAAAAAAGTCAAGTCCTCCGGCTCCTTTTTGGGAGGGATGTTTGGAGGGTAAGACAGCACTGCACCAAAGAACAGCTAGCAAGTATCAGCAGCAAACTTGGCACGAAGCCCAAATCTACCTTTCATATTGTATAAGGCCAAATTATAATACTAATAGTGAAATATTGTACTTATTTGTTAAACCAAGAAGGTGACCTATGACTTTAGTTGTGAAAAGCCCTGTAAACCAGCTTGCTAAGTTAGCTGTTATCAATGTAAACAAAGCAGCAAAGCAAGACTTTCTATTGCATTATGGGCAGCAGAGTCATCATATAGCCTCAGAGGGTTATAGTGTGCTACACTTTAGCTAGAATATTCTCTATTATGTAAATAAGTCGTTTAAAACAATGAATGAGTGGCGTTCACATTTAAGTAGCTTCTCTCTGCATTAGCTGATATATTAAAACAAAACGCCTTTAAATGCAAACCATTGTCCTAAATCTATACATAAAAAAATTATTCCTGCATAGTTTAAAACCCAGATGATCCTCGGATCTGTACTTCTAAACCAATTGATTAAACAAAAGGTGTGTTAATCCCTAGAGGTGCTATAAAGACATGGCCCTGCACAAGAGCAGATTCTCTTATAGGGGAAATAACGTAAGGCTTCCAAGTTTTTCGAAACAAACAAACGAAAAACAGCCTGCCTTCAAATTATATCCACTCAAATTTTAAAGCAGGTTTAGGCTATGTAGGTATTTAAGAATGGCAGAGGAGCAAAACCACAAAGACACGACCGCCCATGTATACTGAAAGCTCAGATAAGAATAACATTAATCAGAGAAGCAGATAAAAGGCCTGTAGGAACTAAGAAGGAGCTGCAAAGATCCATTGATCAGATGGGAGAATCTGTTGCAACAACTCTTAGCCTTGCATCTCACGAATCTGGCCTAGAAGAGAGCTACAAGAAATCCTGCATAAAGTTTATCACAAGTCATGCAAGACATTCAGAAAACATGCAAAAATTGTGTTCTGTAAAAGTCTAAAAGGATCATTATTGGAACAGATTTGAAAATTGCTTTTCAATTCCATTCAACCTATCCAAGCACGTGCTATTTAGCAAGAAATAAGCAATTTGGGCACACTTTTTTTTTTTTTTTTTTTTTTTTTTTTTTTTGTCTCTGGATGTACAAAACCTGCAGAGAAATACTCAGAAAACAATTGCAATTGCATCAAATGGTAGTTCTACAATTGTCTCAGGGGGCAGGTTGGAAATGATGGTACTCCTCCTTGCATACAAACACCAACAATATTTGTTTTCTTCTTCCTCTTCACTTCCCTAGAGGGCAACACAAAGTGGAGGAGGCGTGTGAGATGTACTGCAGAGCTGCCAACATGTTCAAGATGGCCAAGAACTGGAGCGGTAAATGGATGTCCAACATAACAATTTTAAGCATTCTTTTAGAAGGGTGTGGGATAAATGTGGTACTTGTCTGGTCAAGATTCAAGAAACTGCATGCCAAAGTCAGAGAATAAGCTAGATAGTAGTGTGTCAGTTTGAATGCCAGTTCTTGCTGGGTTTTTTTTTTTTTTTTTGCAGCTTCTGGAAATGCCTTCTGCAAGGCTGCACGTCTGCATATGCAGCTGCAGAACAAACATGACTGTGCCACCAGTTTCATTGACGCAGGGAATGCTTACAAGAAGTCTGACCCTAATGGTAAGACGTGAATACATCCACATGTGATATGAGCGTGGGGGAAACCTTGCTAACGTTCTTTTTGACTCTGACTCTGTATCCCTGCGATGAACTCTTACACTCTTTGTATCAAAGTATATAAAAAATAATACTTTTTCTAGCTATCATAGCTGTTAGTTTTTATTTTCCTCATGCTCTCATGTTGATATGTCCAGATTTTGAACCCAAAATTGTCAAGAGTGAATAAAGGCCGTTTCCTAAAAATGAAACGAGTGATAAAACAACTTTAACTTTCTGCACAAAACATCTGACTGAACAGCAGTAGAACTGTAATCCAAATGTGTGTGCATTAATTGATTGATTTATTTTTGCATCTGTAATTGGATAATTCTGATCTGTCAGAGTGAATTGGTGGAGTCAAAACATTTAAGAATTGCTTTAGTTGTTTTCAGCTTAATGAGCATCAGAGGTCCTTAGAAGTCTACTTTGATAATTCAGTTGATAAAGACCAACATTGTCATCCTTTAATTCTCCTACATATCTCAAAAGCAAAAAAAGTAACTTTTAATAAATCTGAAAATATCCGATTTTCTACTATTCACCCCATTTTATTCATATGAAACAGAAGAGCTGTAATGTACTGTCTAACTGTTCCCTCCTCTTTCCTTTATGCTGCTAAGAGGCAATCAAGTGTTTAAATGCTGCCATCGATATATACACAGACATGGTAAGACGCACTTGGAACGTGACCGTCGCCTGTTTCTGCTTCGTCTCCGTGTGTTTTGACGTTTCGGTTTCTGGATGTCGCCTGTAATTTCCTTTGTGTAAACGGCGCTGTGTGCGACGTCACCTGGAAGTTTACAGACGCAAACACAAAGGATTTAAAAAAAAAATATATATTTTTTTTCATTCAGTTTAGTTATCGTCTCTGCCCAAAAAAATCTGGATTTAAGTTTTATTTCACAATGTTAAGAGTGCAGAAAACGTTTTAACTGCGAAGTCACAAGGTACTTCTTCCATGATGATGCCCTGGATTAAGCGTGGATTCTCTTCCGTTGATTGGTGTGGCGTCTCCCGTTAGATCCGGTGTGTAATGATTTTTCCTCTTCCTCCTCCAGGGAAGATTTACCATCGCTGCCAAACATCACATCAGTATCGCAGAAATCTATGAGTCTGAGCTGGTGGATATCGAAAAGGTGATGCAATCGGAGGAAAAGAAATTCCGCCAGCCGTTTTAATACATCTGCTGTAAATTATTTTATTTTTGTTTGTGTTTTTTTTTTTTCTTTTCTTTAAAGGCTATTGCTCATTATGAGCAAGCAGCAGACTACTACAAAGGAGAGGAGTCAAACAGGTACCGTTCCTAATTGCGGACCTTTTTATTTAAACTGAATTCTTTCATTGGGGTCAAACACAGTCTAAACAGTCGATGTGAAACAGTTGATTTTTCAAACTTAGCCTGTGTTACTTTACGTAATCGATCACGTGTCGGTGACGCCTCTCTCTCTTTAGCTCTGCAAACAAGTGTCTGCTGAAAGTGGGAGCTTACTGCGCTCAGCTGGAGCAATACCAGAAGGCCATAGAGATCTACGAGCAGGTGTGTACTTCAAATTCCCCCCCGCTTTGTTTCCAACAACCCCTCCATCCTGCTAACGTTTGCCTGATCTGAATGCTATCGAGGTCGGAGCCAACACGATGGACAACCCGCTGCTGAAATACAGCGCTAAAGAGTATTTCTTCAAGGCGTCCCTGTGTCATTTCATTGTCGACGAGCTCAACGCCAAGGTAAGTCCACACCTCTGAGGTCCACCGTTGGTTTGGGGGACCGTGTTGCCGAGGCTGATGTGTATATTCTGCCTGGACAGATTGCTGTTGAGAAATATGAGGAGATGTTTCCTGCTTTCTCAGACTCCAGAGAATGCAAGTTGTTGAAGGTAACTCTGAGTTAAACCTCTGACGGATTCAAAGGCAAAAATACTTTCCTGATCCCGAAGGGAGTTATCTGGTTAACGTCTGGTAGTAACTTCCTTCTTGCGTTCGGTTGAACAGAAACTTCTCGAGGCTCACGAGGAACAGAACAGCGAGGCCTTTACAGAAGCGGTGAGTCTTCACATTCCCCATTTTAACCAGTTTTCTTTCTTTTTTTAATTTACATATCATCACGTCACAATCACAATCTCGCAATTTCAGCTCTGCGCATTTTTACATTTGTATTTGTCAAGACAATTGGATTTCATTTCTTCATTGATTTAATTCTATTTCAGAGTTGTTGCTACTTTGTGTGGATTTGTCGCACAAAGTCCCAATGAAACTCTCTCTTCTTTAACTCGAAAGGGTTGGGAGTGATTTTTGAAGGCGCTGTCATTTATTGTGTGCCTCTTCTTAACCTGTTTGCAGGTGAAGGAGTTCGACTCGATCTCCCGTCTGGACCAGTGGCACACCACCCTCCTACTGCGCATCAAAAAGACCATCCAGGGTGATGAAGGGGATTTGAAATAAATAATAAAAAAAAAAAAACTCAGGTTAGGGTTGCAGCATGAACCATCACGCAGCAGGGTGATGGTTCCATCACGCATGCTTTCACACACACACATGCACGCACTTCAGAGCACTCTTTCACACTCCCCTCGCTGTTACCATATCGGTTCGGGAGCGTCCGCTGACCTCTTTTTTTTTTTTGTTTAACTTTTCCAATGCTCACTGTTATAAGAAGCGCTACATGTTGTTTTTGTTACCAGCTTATCCAAATCCAGTCAGAATGTAAATCCTCTCGCCCTCACCTCTGAACAGAGGATTGCTGCATACCTTTCTCAGCTTATATCCTCCTGAAGGGGGTTTCAGAATCTGACGCTAGTACCGAGAGGCTCTGCATGTTTTCTACCGTTTCTTTCTTAGTCGGACGAGGCTTTTTTGTATTTTAAATCCATGTCGGCGTGCAAACCTGTTTGATTTACGCAACGGGCCAGTTTGTGATCATTTTCAGGAATCCTTTGTTGCATAGCGCTAGAGGAGACGATCAAACCCACGCTCTCAGTACTGAGTAATGCATCGAAGCCGTTTCCATCCCCCCCCCCATCCCTTCTCTTGAAACTTGGCAATGATATGCACAAGTTTTGACTGTTATATATTTGTATCTGAATAAATGAAATCATGATTTTATTATTTTTTTTCTTAAAACTCTAGGATGTGTTTGCCGTGGCGAGACTTTGTTTGCACCTGTAAGATGTATAGTTTGAATGTAAAACGCATTCTTTACTCTTAAATAAAGAGCACCGGCACGAGGCCCCTTCCTCCTTATGTCACTTGAATGTGTATTTTGATGTAGTGCACCTTCCAAGCAGCCGGTTGCTTAGCATGTCATTGTGTTGTGTACATTCACTAGTGTTAGCGAAACCAAAGTTTTTACAAATGGAACAGAAAAAGAAGCAGAAACTCTGTATTTACCTTCTTCCATGTGGAACAACAATAGGCTGTGGATATGAAATGTATGCCTGTTAAAATTAAGAATAATAAAGATTAAGTTCAATGCCGTGGCGTTTGTGAGCTTACATGTCAATCACCTGTTTATTTTTATTTATTTTTTGTAAATCCAGACATTTTAGTTGCTCTCAATACCACACTCTTCATCGCCTTGAATGTTGGGGCTAAATTGTTATGCAAGCTCTCACAATTAAATTGTATATAAATGAAATGCAAGCGATTTTAAATATGCATCGTCATAATTTACTAAAATACTTAAGTGCATGGGTAAGATATGAGAATAAGAAGAGATGAAATGGTAAAGTACATGTACAAAACGGGTAAAAGCTTGCACAAAGGGAAAATAAACCAGGACCAAAAAAAAAAAAAAAAACAAAGCGTCACCTGCTACCTGACAACTATTACACAGTCTGATGCATAGTAGTAAGAATAAATTGAAATGAAGCACTGCTGTTATCAGTACAACATTGATTTTAAATGACACCAAAATCTTTACATGAGCCTTTATGTCATAATGCCGCAAAATCTTTAACCACAGCACAAAGAAAGATTCTTCTACACAGAGCTTTGGTCTTTGGTGGTTTCTGCTTCATCTGCCGTCTTGTTCTGTCCATCGTCCAGGAGTTGTTCCTGTTCTTTTCCATGAAGCCCCTCCCCAACAATCACAGTCTCTATGTCTGGGTGCATCTTGTCGCTCTCGGAGGTTGGATTGTTTTCCGAAGGTGGAGCTAGAACCGCCTGTGCAGCAGCCGCTTCCAGCAGAGACGTCGTGGAGATGTCTGACGCCAGCAAGGTCTCAGAAACGGGGACGGAGAGTGTGGGAACAGACAGAGAGCTGGACGGAGCTTCAGAGGACAACGTCTGAGCTACGGACACCGGGATGGAAAAGGGCACGGCGATGGCCGAACCATCTAACGTGATGGCGCTTGTGCCGATGGGCTGGATCTGCGTCCCCGGCGGGACCTCGGTGTGGATGACGGCGATGGCGCCGACGCCGCCGTGGCTGACCAGAGTGATGGCTCCGTGCCTGGCCCAGTCAGCTGGGAGAGTCACCGGCTCAGTCGGAACCACCACGGTTTCTGTGCTGCTTTTGTCCGCATCGTCAACGGCGTGAACGGTGGGAACCGGGGAGGAAGAGCTTTTGCTGGCCGTGCTCCTTTTCTCCTCCGATCCTCCCTTTTCTTTTGTAGGAGACTTGGGCTTCTTCTCCTCCACGTTTCCCTCCAGCACAACCAGGTAGGTCTTCCACGGCACATCCGAGCCATGGATCTGTTTCAGCAACCAGAACAAGAGAATCAATGCTCCCGCCTCAAACGCGGATGCTTCTTTTTCTGCCGTTTGGCGAGAGAAGGCGTACTCACCATAGTGTGCCTGCGCAGGGTGGACTTGTCAGTAAAGGTGCGTTTACAGAGGCCACACATGTAGGGCTTCTCTCCCGTATGGATCCGCTGGTGCCTCTGCAGCGCATTGAGCTGAGTGAAGTGCTTATCACAGGACTTGCAGCTGTACGGACGCTCGCCTGAGCAGCAAAATTTAGAAAGTGAATCAAGAGTGAACGAAAACAATTCCTTGTACTCCAAATGTGTCTGAGGAACTATACCCGTGTGAATTTTCAAATGCTGGTTGAGAGAGTTCCTCTGGGCGAAGCCTCTGCCGCAGTGCTCACACTTGTACGGCTTGGAGCCTGTGTGGATGTTGGAGTGATGTCTCAGGTACTCCTTGGATGCAAAGCTTTTACCACAGGATTCACACATGAAAGGTTTTTCCCCTAAAGCAGCAGAGGATTTGTTTAGTCAGCCATCTTTGTTCAAAGTCAAACTCAAATCTGGAAAAATGTTTGTGAAATTCTTTTTTTTTTTTTTTTTTTTTACCTGTGTGTGATCTCTTGTGATAGGCCAACATGTGCCTTTGAGAGAACCGGGAGTCACACAAGTCACATGCATAGGGCTTCTCTCCTGTATGTGTCCTACACACACATGAACACACTTACTGAACACTAGTCGTGATTCCATGACTAGCAAATGTGATCTTATCCACTTAATCAAAACACTTCAAGGAGATTTTAAGAAACGGGCACGAATACCTCCAAGTAACTTTAAATTACAACGCAAAGATAACCAGAAGTCGCATTTTAAGGCTGAAATCCTACATACGAGCTGGAAAGAGGGCAAAACTGCTACCTGTGATGCATCTTGAGCGCAGAGTTCTGGGTAAACTTGGCCCCGCAGACGGTGCACTCGTAGGGCTTCAAGCCCGTGTGCGTCCTCTCGTGAAGCAACAAGGCCGCTCTGGAGCTGAGGGACTTCCCGCATTCGGCGCACACGTGCCTCATGTTCCTTTCATGTACCTGAGACACAACAGGAAATATTGAGCTTATTATGCAGACGGGAAAAAAAAAGACAAAGAGGGGGCATGCAAAGTTTTGTCACTCCTCACCTGTCGTTTATGGCGGACGACGTCCTTCTTCCGTTTGAAGGTCTTGCTGCAGGAGTCGCAGGCGAAGAGCCTCTCGTTGCTGTGGACGTGCTTCTCGTGGATCTTCAGATTGCTGCTGTTGGCGAAGGTCTGCATGCAAGTCTCACAGCGGTGGATGACGTGGGCTTTCACTCCGTGGTATGTGCTAGGGAAAGGAACAGGTCAGCTCACAGCCGACACCACAGGGGACTTTGGTGAAAGTTAGTAGGACACAGGACAGCGACCCAGTTACCTGATGTGCTTCAAGTAGCTTTTCTCATAATGGAAAGTCCGCTGGCACTTGTTACAGCTGAACTGGGCCTTGGATATCCTTTTAACTTCCTCCTCAGACTGTCCTTCCTCATCTTCGTCGTCCTCCTCCTCCTCTTCGTCCACATACAAAGAGTCTTGAGGGTCGTTACTCTGTGCGTCTTCCTCAAAGTCCAGGTTATCTGAGGCTCTGCTCTCGATATTCTCCTGTTCCTCGCTCAAGTCTTCTTCGTTCTCTGGTTCAGAATCTTCTCCGGTTCTGTCCTCAGATTCATTCGCTTGGTTTTTATCTTTAGGATCACCTTTCAAAGAGTAACGCAAGCGCCTCTGGAGCACCTTACGGCCTGCCAGCTTCAGTTTCAACTTTTTTACTTGGTTGGTTGTTTTCCTTTGAAAGGTTTTCACCTTCAGCTTCCTTTTACGGTCCTGTTTCTTGGGGCTCTGCGACGAAAGCTGCCGCTCAAGAGGTTGCTTCTTTGCATCGACCTTTTCAGCGCCGGGTAATTCTCCTCCTCCATCTTTGACTTTGGAGTCGCAGGTTTTACTTTTGGGCCTTTCCAGAACTCCAGCGCTCAAGGCGTCGCTGCAAACCACCGACAGGCCCTCGCAATCCAGTAGTCGCGCCACTTCTTGAACATCGCCGATCTTATTCCTGGCAACCTCTATCTTACCTGTGTAGACGAACTCCAGGTACTTTGAGAAGTCACTCGAGTGCATGTTTGAGAGCTGTAACTTAGCCCGGTTTGCGTCCTGAGAGAGGAGAATCTTCTGAAAATACCCGCTGGACGCAGCCAGAATCAGCTGGTGGGCTTGAAACTCCTCTACCTCTTCCTGGTAGTTCACTTGGATCGTTACGTCACACAGTTGCCCCTGCATCCTCATTTGATGCAGGGAAGCCAGAAGGTTTTCATGGTGAGACTTTGAGGTGAGCTGGATCACCTTGATCCCCATTTATCACTTCTGGTGCTGAGAAAAACACAAGTGTGGGACATGTTGTTACTCTAAAGATGTCCTATAAGTTCTACAGTATGATTTTTGTTTTTAAATGCGTGTCCCCCCAAGTGTCTGATAGTGACCAGTTTGGGGGAATCTACTCTGAATTTTCTTTTCTTCAGACTGAATGTAAAAAGTACCAAAGAAAAACTTCCAAATAATTCAAAAGGGGAGTATGGAGAATCATAATCAGGAGGTTTAAGTGAACGATGTTAAAGTATTAAAATACTTCAGAGGGAGATTTAGTTTTGTTCTAATTTAAATGTCGAAGAGCACTCTTGAAAAGTTTCTTATTTTACTTCCATAAATCAGAGTTTCAGGTCATATTTTAATAAGAAATAACTTCTGTATTTATAGTTCTTGAAGTCTTTCTTGTGACATTGGAGTTTTTTTTGTTTGTTTGTTTTGTTCTGTTTTTTTTTTGTTTGTTTTTTTTTTGATAAACCACATCATACTGATCCAAAGCACCCCACAAGCATAAAAGAAGCAAGAGCATCAAGAAGACAAAGGGACACACCAAACAGAGCAGGGATTCAATCATGGAGAGGTTTAACACAAGTTTGGAAGTAATTTTCCTACTTTACCATCACAATGGCTAAACATGGTGGTGGCATCATCATGCTGAGGGGATGCTCTGCTTTAGCAAGGACAGGAAAGCTGGCTAGATGGGAAGATGAGTGGAGGTAAATAAAATACTTAAACTTTGTGGCTGTAAAACAGCAAAATGTGACAAAATATCAAGGCTATGAACACTTTGTGAGGTACTGAATCTTTCCTCATCCGTCTCTGGTCTTTGCTGAATCTTTTTGAAATGTTTTTACAAAACACTTTTTAATTTGATTATATTTTATTAATCCTCAACTTTTCCAGTTTTTTTGTTTTGTTTTGTGTTTTTACATTTTTACACACGCCCATTTCATATCGTCCTGTAGAAGACAGAAAACGAGTGAAACAAGCACATTGGAAAGAACATGCTTCCTCGAAGGATGACACATTTTTAGTGATGCTTTCAACACTTTTACATGCACAACATGAATCCGGCTAAGCAATAGTCGTATCTCAAAGTGCAAAAGGCTGCCAGATATTTCTGTAAAGTTGCATTGTTCGTGGCATTTTGTTTCTCTCGCTGCGAGGTGCACCTTCACATGAGCAAACACTCATAATCCATCACTCTGAGTTGACAGCATTGACAGCAGCTCAAGGTAAATGCTAGCGCTAGCATCGCAGACAATAGCTAAATCAGATCTAAAGGCAACACTCGGCTCTTAACGAAGGAACGTGGAGGCTATAACGCAAACTGACTCCGCAGTACACCGCTCACACAGTGACCGTGTGGCATCCAGCAAAACCATTCAACGCGAGTTAAGTTTTCTTACCGTAAGCTCGGTAAAATGGCAGCCCTTCACTTCCACAGCGGAAGGCACTTCCTGCTCAAGTCCCTCACAAAGACCGCTTCCAGGCTTTTCACAGCAGTGACATCCGGTGGCATAGTCGCTGGTTTTGGATTAGTCCTCCGTTTAACCTGTGAAATACCGACTACAAAAGCTTCCTTCGTTTGATTTTAAAATATATCGACCACGATGACGGCGTTACGTAACCGGAATAAAACGAGCGCGTGTAATAATTAGCGATACACGGCGAATCATCTTTGTTTGGCCCTGTGTCGAATTAATTATTATGCAGAAATTTGGCGTTTCTTTTACGTGAATGCATTTTGTTTCAGTACTACTCGTTTTTAACCGTGCTGGACGGGGATTGGGTTGAGAAACACCGACTAATACGGCAGCTGTTTTAAGAACAATTAATGAATAAAGTAAAGTGATATTACCGTAACGTTCAACACAAATAACAGGGAAATTGGTGCGTTTTTCACGCATTGCTCCCCAGCGTCCACACGATGGCGGCATTGCGCAGAGAGGCTGTCTCGTGCCTTAATGACCAGGGAGACGCGAAGACACGTGAGAACCATTCATGTGAGTTTATTACATGTAAAGTTTTTTCTTTACATGACTTGAGTGGCTCTTCCGGAAACCTATGCAAAGGGTGCCTAGTGCAATTTCAAAAACACATGTTATATGAATTGGTTAATTATTATTTTTTTATTTGTTCTTAGGCATATGAGTGTGTGTGTTGCATCATTGTTGAACCTCAAAGTTTGATCCCGTCTCTAGCTTGAAATGTCCTGATCCACTGATGTTTGCGCTCGGTTTTCGCCTGTGCTTGCACTCTAAACATTTCTGGGTTGTTTATTGCTCTTGTTAAGGTCTTACCATATTTAGTAAATTCCTTTGTGTTGAGTTGCTCGCTTATTACGTTTGTTCTATTCGTTTTGTATTCTGGATTAGACTCTTATGTTAGCATAAGTCTTTTTCCCTTTGGGTTTGTAGATCCTTCTGTGTTTGGTTCAACTCTCTGTGTTAATTAGTCTGCTTCCCTCAGCATTCATGCTTTGTATTCTCCCCCATGTGTGTCTGCATCCCTCTGATTAACTCACCTGGTTTCAATGCCACCACCCTTCCTCCTCCTCCTCCTCAGTATTTAAGCTCCTCGGCTTTCATTGTTCTCTGCTGGTTTCTTTCATTGCACTTGCCCTGGTCTTCTGTGCAAGTTAAATTTTTACTCTCATTAAGTCCGTCAAACTCACCATGTTGCTCTCGAGTTCCCGTCCTCCTTTAACTTAAAGTCCTATTAAGTCAGACCCATTTGGTGAACTTACTTCTCAGCACCTCATCGAGTTTTATTTCTGAAATCTTTGACATTTTGATAATAAACCAGGTTAGCAGGGATTACCAAAACTGGTTTGGTTTGCCAACATGGCAGACTGAGAGTGAAAACAAAACCTTAGAAAGAAAGTAATGGTTTATACTAACGTCAGGAAAAACCAAGATGATTGTCACTTCTTCAGCTTCTGATTTTATAACATTTTGAGTGAAACGGTGGCACAATTTGGACCTCAAAGCCACTGCTTCCTTCTGGAATATCACTGAAGAAGTCAAATAAATCAGACTAAACATGAGAAAGAGAAGTCTGGAGCTCCCCAAAGCTGCTTTCTCATTGGGTACTATTTTCAGATGAAGGTGCAGCATTCATCTGTTCAAACTGTTTCAATTGGCCAGGAAGAATTGGGTTCGATAGAGGAACTTTAGTCCAAAATGAGTAAAGGTAATTTTACTTATATAGCACATTTTCAGCAACAAGACAATACAAAGTGCTTTACGGGACTTAACGGGAAATACAAACAAAATAACAAACCAAAAGAAAGAGGAAAAGAAGAAAAAGCTAATAATGTTGATCCAAAGTAAATAAACTAGATACACCTATTCAGGGTTGGTAGATAAGTATAAGTAAGTAAATATCCTCTGGTCTAATTCCTTTTCTGGGTTACGACAGAATAGAAGCAGTAGACCTTGTAAACCGTTATTTACTAGGCAAAATTTGCCAAAGAGTCAAATATTTTTTTTCCGTAGGGTCACAGAACAACAAAATTGACTATTTCATCCTTTTTGAGGTTGCTGATCCCTGATTTAGCTGAAGAAAACCAATCAGGATCACATATCAATATGCATGAAGCTAAAGTTGTTGTAAGAATAAATTATGTTTTTAAACGATCTGTTACAGTTTCTGTGCCAGCCAGCGCATATCAGCTTAAGAAATTGATTTTGGCGTTATCTCTTCAACACAGGGAGGAAAACTAGTTCTACAGGGACACGGGGCCCCGATGGCCCGCTGGCCGGCTGTAAAGAGGCTGCCTGAAGCAAAAAGTCCCATCGTGGACTGAAAGGCCACTTTCGTTGAAAATGACCATTAAAGCAGTTTACAAATGCATTCTGTGTCAAAGACTTTGTCAATTTGAACTAAAATTGCAAAATCGGAGAACAGCATTCCATCTGTGAAGGACAAGAATGATGACATGATGTTAGTTGTTTTTTGGAGGGGGGGTTGAGGTTGCAAGAGGAGCCGGTGAACTTTACGAAATACACAACCTCTCGAGGAGAGAACGTTACGTGGAATTATTAAAGCGAGCATCTCGAGACATGAGCGAGGAAGATGAAGCTCGAGGGCTGATGGGTCTTCTAAACATACGATCTGTCATACCACCAAATTTGTTAATACATGGCTTAAGGGGAATGCAGTTATTGCTTCAGCTGTCACAAAGGTAAAAAGTGTGTGTGTGTGTGTGAGAAGAAGGCGGAGTACAAACTTGACTCGGCTACAACAGTTCTGCCTGGTTTAAAATGCAATTCCACCAAATTCTACAGCACAGAATGACAACTTTGTATTTGAAGAAAGTGTAAAAAGAAAAAAAAGTTTTTAAAAACTCAAAATTTGGAATTTAACAAACGGAAATCATTTTGGTCATCCCTACTGAGCTAAAAAAAAAAAAAAAAAAACAAACGGAAAAGTGTAGGGGGATTTAAGAAAAAAAATGTTTTAAACAGTATACATTTCTGAGATGCTATAAAACCAATGTATTTCTCAGCCTTTTATGCATTTAAACTGTAGAAACATTACGTAGGAGAGGCATACTCTAGGCAAGTGATTTAACAAGGCATAAAACTTTAGAAGAACAGTAAAACAGTTCATTTCTGCAGTTATGACCATTGCGTGCCTGACAGCCATACTGAATTTTGAGCTTTAGGTCGACTTTCCAAGTCAAAATCCCGGCTTCAGTGGGCATTCCGGTTGTAGCGCAGTAACTCTATCAAGCACAAATAGAAAACACGTGTTTTTACTGATGAAAACAATAATAAATCGACACCGTAAGTACTCTAGTTACAGTGTTGTCAACTTGACTGGGAGTGCAACGGTAACACAAACATAAATTGGGCAACATATTTTCAGACCAAGATGTATCATCTGCAGAGTTGCAAAATGCTGTCATTCCAAAGGTGTATGGAAAGCTACTTGAGGAAGTCCCCGGGGAATGGCTTGGGAGCTGCCAAGTGTGTGTGTGTGTTTTATTTATTTATTTTTTTCCTCAGCATATCCATATACCTTCCATTTGTCCTAATGAATTCTGCAAACTCTCAATCTGCTCTGTTCCGGTGAGTCATGCTTCTCCCCCTATGTGCAAGACTTCAGCTCTGACCTGGAACACCATGTGCAACCAGAGTTTATTAGAATACTCCAATGCCACACAGATTTTTCTACGGATGACACTTAACTTACTAGCTGGTCACCAGAGAGCCTCGTTTCCTGGACAATAACTCCAGACACAAATGTTATGACGTTCCGAATCACGGCATCTCTCGTTGTGAGAGATGCCGTGATAGGCTTCCTAGATAGGGAGCCTATCTAGGAAGGGCTTTTATTCGATAAATCACTGGAATACGAAACAAATGCGCTTGGCTCTGAACAACTGCTTTTGCTTTTTGCCATTTTTGTCGACACATAAAAGGTCTTCCCCCGCTTCCTGAAAATGTCAGAGGCAACTATTTAAGTCATCCTGGTTCAGGATTTGCGGTCTGCAGTGTAGTCACAGTGCGCATCGTCAGAATGAAAACAACAGACAGGAAGCGGCTCTCTGTTCATCGCTGCCTGACATGTGTAATCAAGGGGATAAACATAATGCCTTATCGTTGAAAGAACAAAAGGTCAAACAGTCATTTCAGGAACATGCCCTTCTAATTTACTTTCAGCAGTGGTATTAGCTGGCTTCTTTTTTTTTTTCCATCCCTCGAGGGCATATCGTGTCACTCAAAGATGCACAGGATGTTGGCTTGTGAAAGTCAAGGTTTTGACATGTATTCCCCTTGATACGCGAAACCAGTCGGGTGTGCGAGAGGGGCAGTAAATTCCCAGGTATTCGTCGTGAGGTTGCCATGTGACGGAGGCGGCGAGTAAATGCATGCTGCAAGGCGAAGGCAAAGCTTTTTTTTTTTTTTGTTCATCTACTGAAAAATATCGTTGCACAAACAGCGGAACAAAAGCTGCAACGTCCAATTGAAAAGCAGAAGATTTAATTTCAGCTACGAAAAACAAAGTGAGGGGGGAAAGAAAGCAATATGTTGTCTTTTCCCTTTTTTTCTGGTGATGATTGTGTCTTGGCTTGAGTTTGTGTCCAGAGTGCTTTTTTTTTTTTTTTTTACACCAACAACAACAACAACAAAAAGAAAACACTCCTACATGATTGCAGTGAGGCTAGGTTTGACGGTCGGTGTCCTTACGGGACCTCTTGGGCAGCTCTTGAACAGGACTGGCTCCTAATCGCGGCAGACAAACTCGACCAGTAATGGTAAACACCAGCACATTTTATGGAAGTTTGGACAGTGGAGGTCCAAGAATAACCTCAGTCTCCTCTTTGTGCTTGCCCCAAATCACAGCACGGTCGCTGCCAGACCATCGCGCTGCAGTCCAACGCTGCACTCTGCGGTATCCTTCCCATCCCCGGCTCACTCGGTGAACCCTGTTAGCAGAAAAACACATTTAATGCGTTCTGACTTGTTTCAACAGACACCAGTGTTTTTCTTGTTGTTAATGAAGTGCTCCGGTTTTCATTTGGTCCAAAACCGGAGAGCGGTTTCGGTTGTTTCATGAAAGGAAAAATACATCTCCACTTATATTTACTTACGGAGGAGAGGAGGGGGGGAAGGTGGGGTTCAAATATTAACACTTGTTTATGGACTCCAGTGGGGGTCAAGTTTATTTTGCCAGATTACACAGAGGATCTCAGGTGTGTCTGTAAAAGTAAGTCCTGAACCTCTTCAACTTAACACCCTAACCCTTTTCCTCTATTCTGTTTCATTTTGAAGCTGGCTCCACGCCTCGCCACAGCAGA